AGGGATCCAAAACTCATTTGCCCACAGGAATCAAATGGGCAAATGAGCAGAGTTAGCAGACCAGAAAGAAATGTGTTCTCTTTCATTTTTTTTTCCTTAAAATATGAAATCCTCCAAGGTTATCTTCTTGCTTTCCTATCTTTGATAGATTAAGTAAAGGGATACGGGTCTCTACAACAGGAAAATCCACAGTGCAAATGTGATAAGTGATACCTAGTACTAAGCATCAACACTTGGGAGTAACAGTGCTGGGGACTGCAGGCAGCCCTGAGAACATGTGTCTTATAGGAGTGGTAGGTTTTTAGCTTCAGTTGCTTGTTACTAGATCAATAAATTTCTCAAAGCTGATTCTGTAGGATTTTGTATAAAAAAAATCTCAATGTGTGATTTTTTAATGAGAACCCAGCCTTATTCTAAAAGATTGTCTCAGACGTCAGTCTTTTGCAAGGCAGCTCACTCCATGCTTTCAAAAGACTCAATTATGGAAAGCTCTCTTCGTGTTGAATCAGTCTCATTTCTGGCTGCTGTCAGACATTGCCCAAAGTCTGCACTTGTAAGCTATACCATGAATCATGTACCTCCTCCCCAAAAGCACTCTCCAAACAGGGTGGCTGACATGTTACCTCCCTAAGCATTTGTTTCTATACCAGACATTCCCTGTTACTCTATCCACTTCTGAAACACACTGGGATTCTCTTCTGGGCCAGTTCCTCATTGAAGGTACTTCTCTTAAGATACCGCATCCAGATGCTCCAACACTCTCGAGGTGGAGCCTCACCAGTGCCCAGTCTCACCATATCACTCTGTGCAGTCAGCTGACCGTTACATTATAACGAATAGTGCAGTCAGTCTGCCTGGGTTACAAAACTGGTTCCTCCAGATTTTAGATGTGAAACTTTAGGAAATCTATCTAATTACTATATGCCTGAGTTTCTTCATTTATATGCAACAGGGACAATCCTTGTACCTATTTCATGGGACTGCCATAAGACTTGAGATGATATATGAAGTGCTGGAAAATGTGACTAACACATGGTAAATACTATGAGAATGTGTCCTCATCACTTTTATTAGCACTATGATCTGGAACCATACCATTTGTTGTGCTCATCCTGATCACTAATAAAAATGCTATGCCGAGGGCTGAGTCCTGGCAGTACCCCTGTCTCTAGACTGCCAAGATAACAAATGCAAGTCTGTCTTCTCCGTATTATACCTGAGGTGACTGTCATGTACCATGCTAGGCATCGAGCACATGAATGCAAATACAATACAGACTTTGCTCCCAAGTCCCAGTATAACAAAGAGACAAATGCTGAAACAAGAATACTCCCTAGGAGATAATGAAGGAGCCCCAGCTTTAGTTCTGCAGCTTCCTATTTCTCTAAATACCCTAAAACAGAAGGAAACAAAAGAAACACATTTTGAACACATTTATTTGATTGTCATCATTCATGAAGAATTTCATCTGTTATGCCTTCCAGATCTGTTGTGGTCATGGCTTTTGACTTTCACCTTTGTTGTTGTTGTTACTTTTATTTTTCCCAAGAAGTATTTTTTTCTAAGTGGTGTTTGTTTGGAAGAAAAATTTCTTGTTCAGAGTTCACTGACCTTCTAGTCTCTGCTCTCCAGGAGTCTTTACAATCTGTTGGAATCTTTGGTCGTACTACTTTGAGTATAGCAACCTTCTGTAAACAAATGTTTACAGAATCAACCCGGATGCTGGTGTGCATCCATTGCTGAGGGTCCCTGGGTTGGTAAGGAAGTATGCAATCCCAGTAGCAGAACAATCCTCTGCTTTGCAAATTCCCCCCCGCCTGGACTCAGTCGTCTTTTACATGCCACTGATGGTCTCTTGGTTTTTATTGGTCACAAAGGTTAATTTTGCGTTCTCAGTGATCTCATTCTTGTCCACTGGTACCTCAGTGAATGAAAACAGGCATCAAAAGATGGAACGACTCAGCACACAGCACACACTTGACGGACAGACATAAAAACTCCGAAGTCTTCTCCGTTTCTCACCTGTTCAGAAGGAAATGCTACTGTTTTGGATGACTTGGCTTTTCAAACTGCCGACCAAAAATTTCCCTATTGTTAGTTCAATTAACCAAGGAATTGATCACATGAAGTTATTTGTGGTCAACCTCTTCATAAATGGTTAGGCTCACAAGTGTCTGATCTTCTGGGTGCTGGGCTGCTGGAGGAAGCCAGGAACAGCCCTGAAGAGAGTGTCTGCAACAAGGCATATCTTATTCTGCCGTTAAACTTCCAAATTTGTCACCATCTTAAACTCCTATTGTTCTTGTCACTCAAAGACCTCTCTACCGTGTCTATTTAAAAGTGGGAGTTGTACTTCCTTGCTTTTAGTTAAACGCTTACTTATTTTGATGCAGTTGAAAGAGAAATAGACAGGGAGAGAGAGATCTTCCATATGCTGGTTCACTTCTCAAATGCCTGTAGCAGCCAGGGTTGCACCGAGTCAAACCCAGGAACCCAGAATTCCATCCAGCTCTCCCACATGGGTGACAGGGGCCCTGCTGCCTCTCAGGATGCATTATCAGGATACCAGAGTGGACGCAGATGAGCTGGGACTCCAGATGGCACTCTGCTGTGGGAGTGCAAGTGCCCCAAGAAGCGGCTTAACTTGTACCACAATCTTTGCCCCTACTCACCTTTAATAGGCACACAGTCAATCACATTTGTGTTACTTGACAGAGGTAATATTACCTAACTTAACGTAATTCCAGGTGGAGCATAAAGACTTTGGTAGGTAGTGGAGCCTTATTATGAATCCTACTAAAAATGTTCCTGGATCTCTGTTACTGCATTTAGGAAATCCTGGTTGTGAGCCGCTACATGAAATGTTCAGGTTCACAGTCTTGCAAAATCTTCTTGATATGGACGTTTCATCTATTGCCTCACAAGTGGAACAAGTCCATTTGCTGGAGCATTGAGGTGTTCCCAGCCTGACTTCTCTGCCTAGAAAATGCCATTTCCGTAAAAAGCTGTCAAGCTTCGTGTCCTTTAGCTTATGATTTAGCTGTTCAGGGAAAGTGCAGGCTTCTCTTGCTCTCTGCTGCCGATATGTGTTTTTTGTTTTATTAAATCTTTAAAATACTGGGCTTGTTTTTTATGACCCCATATATTCTTTTGTTCTTCTCTGTGACTCGTTAGATCACATTTTCTTTCTCCCTTTATAAAAACATTAGTGCCTTTCTAAAGAACATCCTGGTCTCCAGAGGCTGTGTAATAAAATGGAGGAATGTGTTGCACGTAACGTTAGGTCTGTCGATTGACTCTGGGGCCACCTCGCTGATGGGAAGGTTTGAGACTTCTTGGACATGGTCCACAGAATTGCTAGATCTTGCTCTTTCCAGGCTCGTTCTAACTATTCTGAGATTGCATGGTGCTCATCAGAGCTCCTTGCAAAATCAGAGTGCCAAATGGTGTATGTTCTGATTACGGACAACTGACTGTTCATGATGAAAAGTTAGCAGGAAAACCTGGGTTAAATGGCAGCAAGTTCAGGTCTAAGCATAGCTTTGTCTTATGTTCAGACTGTTGGGGCTCACGTGCCCTGTGTGCAGGGACCCTAGCTGTTCTGACAAAAGGAGACTTCCTTGGAGATTGTAAGGAGGAAGAGGGCATCTGCAGCCAACCCTGAATTCGGGTAGAACTCCCTGGGCCAGGTGCTCACAGGTTTCCCATCATGCCCAGCTTTCACATCTCACAGTTTCACCCTCTCGTCATTCTCCCAGCATTCAGAAAGTTTCAGTAAACTGTGCCTATAACTTGGTTACCCTACTGATGTGAATCCCCAAATAAACCAGTCCGTGACATCTCATTGAACTTGTTCCTGTGCATACGGTATCTCGCAGCCCATCCTGTACTGTTAGTTTTGGCAAGTACACTACAGCATATAATAAATCACGGGAGGAAAAAGCTTTTTGGCCTAGCGTGGTTCGGCCTGCTGTAATGTTAGAATACAGAGAGCTGTTCTGTTTTTAGACATCCTTTTACTAACCCAACATTCATAATTTATGATTTCACTGTAAAATTCCTGCAACACTACACCAAAAGTAGTGCTGCCCTTTAATTAAGTGCTCTCGGTAGGAAAAACGTGAAACTGATGTGCAAAACATCTCCGTGTGCACGGTGATTGATAGTGATTACATCTTTACGAACTCGGCCCGAAGGTCTGCACTTCCTGATGGGTAAAGCAGTCTGTAGGGCGACTTCCTGAGTCTGCCTGGCGGGGATCAGCCACTGTGAACAGAAGGGGAGAAAATTCAGAGGCACAACTTAGAAATATCGAGGTCTGCAGCCCGCATCTGTCTCTCCTTTGTCACATGTCTACCTCGTGCCTTTATTCCTAGTCTCCATAAGAACCTTCCACCAAGTGTCGGGCAGCATCCACCTCGGAGGTTTTAAAGTGGGGGTGATGAGTTGGGGAGAAGCTCTCTTTGATGGATCTCTGTGTCATACAGGTTTTTTTTTAACTGAATGGCAGGAGGTACTGCTGGCCCTACTGATGCATGACTAGAACATTATGGTCAGAGGAGGACCTTAAGCTGGTCTATTAAATCATTTTCAAACATTTGGTTTTTTTTTTTTCTTAGCTAAAAGTGTGTCTGATTGTGTTCTGAAGTAGTGCCTATAGGTGTCTAGGAGGTTAAATTCTCAAGCCAGGTGCTGCCTGGCTTGTCCCTGTTTCAACTTTGCTATTATCACTGACGCATCGGTGACATGGACAGTTTCCAGATCTGAAGTGCTTCAGGTTCCTTGAAAGCAGAAGTGACACATGCATGCAAGGTGGTGCTGCTTGTATCAGAGCAGCTCTGGCATACAGGTTCAGCAGTTCTCAGTCACAATGGTGGCAACAAAAAAGAGAACTGTGTACAATCCAGCCATCCAACCCTCTACCCATGCCTTCAGAATGACTCTTGTGTAGCTGTGTTGCCCTCACGTGTGAATGTTGTTTTCTGGGTTATTTTTTGCAGATTTGGGCCAGGCTTGGTCATCTATTGGTACGGCTTTATCCAGGAGTTGGACTGCAACCGGGAGAGGGGCATCCTGCTCAAAGCCTGTTTCCCGACCGACATCGTCACCTTGTGCCACAGCACTGCTTGACCCTGGAGATCCTAGAGGAGCAGCTGAGAGGAGGAGGTGACTCCGGAAGCAGTTTCACTTTCCTGCAGTGTAAACTCCTGGCAACATCTGCCCTGAACTGCAGCTGAACTTTCGCTGCCCGTGGTCACACCACTACCTCTTTAGACAAACATATCAAGAGTTTCTGTTTTCCTTCATCCCTTGCTGATGTGAACAGCCAAGAACTACAGACACAACCCACTCATTATCAGCATTTCTGTCTCTGTGAAACAGTTAGTTTATAGATAGTCATAATCTTTCTTCCTTCCGGATGGTTTCTCCTTGTATACGGAACAAAAGGAAACATGTGGAGACTGAAAGGTGTGTAATTTCTCAGTTCTCCTCCCAGTTACCAAATCACCATTTTTTTTTTTCTTCTAAGCCTCCATTCATTCTTTTTGTCTGCCTCCCCCTTCCTCATGTGCACTTCAGATACTCAGTGTTGCATTACCGTCAGGGACTAATCTAGCACAACCCTAGGGAAGCTGAAGACGTGAAGCCCGAAAGTAAATGTTTGCTCTCAGCTGCCGGGCTCTGGCAGAGCGGAGAGGGTGGCCCATGCCGCAAGCTCCTTTTGTCCTGTCTTCATGGTTTCCTGACCTCGGTGCCCTTAAGCCTAGCTGCATACAATATACTGGATGAGAATTTCCTTTTTTAATAATGCTTATTGACCACCAAACAACTTACATTTATCTCATTTAACAGTATTAATTACGTTGTGTCTGGAAGCCACACTTGAGGTTGGAGGCTGAGTGGAGAGGACTGAAGTGCAAAGCCAGCATTAAGGAGAGTCCATTTGTAAAATGACAGGGCTAGTTGTCAGTATGTAGTTTGGCCAATATTTTTATGAGTAAAGTTTTTTTAAAACACACATTCTGGAGTAGATGTTTGGCCTACGTTAAGATGTTACTTGGGACACTTGCATCCCATGTCGGCGTGCGTGGGTGCATGTGCCAGCTGTGCTGCTGATTCCAGCTTCCTATTAATGCTCAGCCATTGGATGCAATTGGGTAGTGAACCAGTGGGTTGGAGAGATCTTCTCTCCCCTCCCCCATTCTTTCTCTTTCAAATAAATAATAAAAATGGCCAATGAAATATTTAAGCAAACGAAGTACATTCTGTACAATGCTTGTACCTGCATTTTATACCACATAATTATAATCTTTAAATAATTTAAGCATTAGAAATATTCAGCTTTGAATAACCCAAGTGTATAAGATAAATCTTTAAAAAAAAAAAAAGTTGCTCTAGTTTTATTTATTCAAAAGACAGAATTACAGAGAGGAAGAAAGAGGGAGATCTTCCATCCATTGGTTTACTCCCGAAATGGCTGCAACAGCCCAGAGCTGGGCTGATCTGAAGCCAGGAGCCAGGAGCTTCTTCTGGGTCTCCTATTCGGATACAAGAGCCCAAGGAATTGGGCCATCTTCCACTGTTCTCCCAGGCCATACCTGAGAACTGGACCAGAAGTGGAGCAGCCGGGACTCAAAGCGGTGCCCATCTGGGCTGCTAGCACTGCAGCATTGGCTTTATCCACTTTGCCACAGTGCCAGCCCCAAGAGCAACATTTAAATAAGCAAAATAAAAGACATTTTATTTGTCTTTGTCCCCTTTAATTTATTCACTTTCATATACTATACATCTGACTTCAGTGTAAAGCAAAAGCATCAATAAACTAAACCTATCTTTGGAGAACTTAAAAATCTGCAACAAAAAGTATATTTAGTAAAATATTTGCCACCAAGCTGGAAAGACAACTTTCATAATGTTGAATAGATAATTTTTCAAATATTAATAACATAACTGTAAGTCATATTGCTTGATTGTTTTAAAGACCAAATCTATCATTTATACTGTTCATTTTGCACATAAGATGGCCTGCAAAACTCTGCATGTTGCTTTTCCCTGAACACAGACTTGTCAGATTTTTTACTCTATAGTTAGCTGCATTAAATCAAGAGAGGAAGAGGATGAAATGAGAGGTATAAGACATCTTGGTTTCAGTATAAAATTCATCATGCGAATTTTACATGTGAAACAATATTGCCTACATACTTTAAGCAAAAATATTAAGAAGGTTTCTTGCTCCAAATAGCTTTTTTTCTTTAGGAATAAAGTACATTTATCTGTACAGATGTTGAAAATCTTATTAAATCCTTGTCAAGGATTTGTTTTACATTAAACAAACTTATGTATAGCAATAAACTTAAATTTTTAAAAGTGCTTGCACTTTGCGTTTCTTCTTCCTGGTTCCCTGACGTGATGCGTAGCAGGAAAGCATTGATGATCCCCCGTGAAGGCACCCCTGCCTCTTTATGCGTGAGGTTTTAAGTTTGGGCCTTAAAAGTGAAAAAGAAGCCATTACACAACACAATAAGGTTACAAATCATGTAAGGGTAAACTTCTTTCCAATACAAAAACTAATGTGATTATACTAGCTACGACTGTAAGTGGATGCAGTGTAGGAGAGAAAGGGAGGAAGATTCCCAGAAACTTCAAGCCTCAGTGTTCGAAGTCTAGGTGTTTGCTCGGTGCTGCTGGTGATTGTTAGACCATGGAAACACCAGCTCCAAAAAGAACAGGGTGACAACTCCTTTTGGCTGTTGTCATGAGAACACGTAGGTTAAAACCAACCCTTGTTTTAGGGGGCACTCTGCACACTGTGCTAATGATTTATGCCAGTCTAGAGAGCAGGTGTGGGTACAAAACGTAAAATGAAATGATGTTCTCTCTGTCACATAGTGACTTGCCAGGCAGCTGCTCTCAAACACCTAAAGACCCATTGGAAGTAGGGAGAAGGGACCAGCTCGGAAAAGCTGACCCAGTACTGAAACTTAAGGTGACTTCAAAGGATCCTTCCCACTCACCCACCCTGGCCCCCCAAAAAACTGACCATAAGCAATCAATAGTTGTTTTCTCTTTTGCCTTCTAGCGAAGTATGTCATTTCTTCAAAATGCTCCTAAAATCACATACAAAAGACAAGGCCCTGGGGTCTAAGGTAGAAAGTTGGACTCCCAGGAGGAAATAATTTTAACCCTAGATGTGTGTACCTGTTCTTTATCAGCAAGGCTTGATTCCACTCTGGAAAAGATGATAAATTGTTGGTCTTTGGGGGAGGTGTATTAACTCATTCAGAGCACCAGGGGACTGCTCAGTGCCAGATGAGGTCATCTAAATGGTCCCTGGTGGACCATACTAATTAATGCACAGTGCCAAAGTGAACAGCTAATTAGCTCACCTCCACTGGGGAGCTACACCCATTGTTTCCTCTTTGGAATTAAGACACTTGAGATGTTTGCTCCCATCTAATGGGTCTGGTGTTTCAATTTGATTACACTGTGACTGCTTTCCTATGCTTCATCCTTTCACTTGGCTTCCCTGTCCTCTGCCCCTTCCCTAGTTCTCACCCTTTTCTTTCCACATGGAGATGTTCTCCACATTTTCACACTGCTGACCCTTTTTTCTTTGTAAGAAAAAAAAATCCAAGGATCAAAATGCATCCTTTCTAAATCGTGATGCATATGTGTAGGGTGAAGGTTGGGGAAGAAGTTGGCCAGCGTATTCAAGTTCATATGTGTCACTTGAAGGATCTTAAAACTTTGAACTAAGAAAATAAGACTTGCAGGGTTAAATATGGAATGGGATTTATGTTTAGTACATGTTTTGGCAAAAGGAACTAAAAGCTGAAATGTTTTGCATCTACTTTCAGTCTGAGTGTTCCAATGATTAAAACCATGAATTAGTAAAATGTTGAATGTCTTCAATTAGAGAATGACTCCTTCATTCATCTTGGGAGAAACTTGGCATTTTCCATGTGATCTGATGGGAGCAGGTTGACTCCAAGTGTGACTACTATGTGATGTGAATGGAAGCAGAAAATCTCCAGTGGACACACTCTTGATTAGTAAAACTGACTTTGTTCTTTATCCCTGAAGAGGAAACTAAGAGGCAAACAATGGGACTTGGCCTTCAATGTCGGCCCCAGTTCTAGAGAAAGGCACAGCTGAACCTGTCGGTAGTCACTCGGGTTAAGGAGGGGGTTTGCATGTGACAAAGTTTGTCATCGGATTGCTCAAACCTTCTGCACATACTACACGTGATCTGAACCTGTTTTATTACGGACAAGTCTGGATTCCTGAGATGATGTAAGGAAGACGGAATTATTAATTAAATAATAACCAGAACAGCCTGGGTTCCCCTTGTGTTCTCTACCTTCCTGCTATTGTTTTGTATGTGGCTGTAAGACAAAGAGCTGCGTAGGTCAAGCACCATAAATTACAGCTTTCATACAATGGCAGTCCACTAGAATGATTTCAAAGCTCGATCAAAGTACTTCAAACACTTCTTAAAACTTTTCCACAACACAAGCGGAAAGGAAATGCTCATTTGATGCCTTTACTTCAATAAGTATAGCAGAGGTCGGTGTCAGTATCATACCTGCTTTATATAAAATCCAACTCATTGATTAAATCCACCTTGTTCTTACCAGCGTTTTGTGTGTAAAGGAGATTTTAAGTTTTCATCTAGTTAACTGGAACAACTAAACGTTTGGAGTCCCTTGTAATCAGCAACATTTTAAAATAAGCATAACTTGACAGTATTTAATTGTGATAACTTCAGATATTCGTTAAGACTGTTTAACTCCCAGCAGTTAAAATAAAGCTGATCTCAGTGGATTTATTTGGCATTTTAATAACAGTCATGGCAATAGACATATTTAATTTTTCATCCGTTTCCTCTCATCCTTTGGATTTATCCTGATCTGTTTCATGTCATGGGTAAGGATGATGAGAAGTACCTTAGTGAGAGCAAGGCCAAGCAAATCTAGGCTCAACCATATATAAAATTAGCATGAACTGTTTCAACAATGCCAGGCTCAACTCAAGACCCATGGTACTATGTCTGGGTAATTTTTATTTTTTAAAAGGAATGTCACTTTGAAATACTGACATGAAATATAACCAAGTCAATTAACTAATAACAGCTGAAGTTCAGAGTTTAATTGAGGGCTGAACATGAAGCCAATGACCATTAACCCAAAATGATCATTAATTCCCCCTGGAAACTGCTTTGGTTAAAGGTATTTCTAGAATAACCAGCACTTGTCATTTTTACATTCGACACAAATGCATTCAGAAATAACAATTTAGGGTGTCCAAAGTAGACTCTGTATTTTCATTTTAATTGAAATTCTTTTATAGCATAAATCAAAACCTATATAAAACTACCTCTTCTCTGCAGGAAATCACAGTTCTTTAAGAACTGAAAAATGGAAGTACCCTTTATATGATTGCCTAGGGTTTATCTCAATTGTTGTATTTGTTTCTGTATTCTTTAATGCAAGATTTCTGACTCGATTGTAAGCCCCATGGAATTAGCAACTACATATATTTTATTCACCTCTCCAACCACTGATACTTAACAGTGTTCTGACCGAATAAAGGCTGAACGAACAAGTGAATGACTGCTAAAACTTAGATTAATTATGTTCTCAACATGCATTAAACAAATAATTGGAACTTTTTAAACTTTTTCTTATTTTCTTCAGCTGAAAAATGGGTTTATTTACAGGATTAGGAGAAGGGCATCATATGTTAAGGTTTATTAAAGAATTATCTTAGAAACTTTCAATCTGAAATAAAACCAACTTATCAGCAAGATTATTTTGGGCTAAATGATTGGTTTGAAGGGGAACTTGTATAATTCTGTCACATTTGCCTTAAAGGTAGTCTTAGTCATTACTGTTTATTCGTTGTGCTGCTAAATGAGAACATTAACTTTTGTTCCTTTTTGGGGGGTTATCTTTATCTTCACATCTCTATTTTAAAAGTAATTTCCCATAGAATCATGTCGGGGCTCCCAACCAAATGTATTTCATTCACACATCTTGGGCTATTCAGTGGAGTTATTAGATTAACTGCAAATGATAATTGTAATTGTTGGCTGCTGAGTTGATGGCAAAGTGCTTCCTGGCCAGAGAAGTGGCTGGCTGGCTAAAGAGAGTAGGGCTCTGGTCATTTGCCAACACGATCTGACCTTTGGAGCGATGCTGTCTATGAACTGCTCAGTGGGCCTTTCTTGTTAGTCATTAATTCAGAGTGTTTTATCATTTGAAAGCCAGAGGTATTTGGCATATTTCCTCATATTTTAGAAACTTGTAGCACAAAAGAAACTGGAACTTCCACATTTCTTCTTTGCCCTGCCAGTTTCCCAGGGCTTAATTTGTTGGGGCCCTTTGGTGTGTGACTCCTTCTGGAAGATGTGACCCTTATAACAGGTATCAT